GCAATTCCGGTATTGGGGAATCACTAAGCTCCCAATAATACAAGAGCAAGCCCCAGGTATATAAAACATTTACCTGGTTAAATAAAAAGAAATCAGCGTTGCCAGCAGCAGCAGGAAAGTGGCAACAGGGAGAGAAGACCTTCTCTTTACCTTTTTCTCAAAGGTAAAGGAAGAACCCCATGAGGTGAGGCACGCTAAGATCTTGCTTATCCGTCCTGCATCTCATCACCAGAGAATCCCCCGTGCTCACATTTTATTGCATCTTCAAAGGCATTTGCCTCCCTCTCTCACTTCTGAGGCTTCCTGCCCTGGGCTGAGCAAGCTCGGACACTAAATCTTCCTTTCTCTCCAGGAAGGGGGGGACTCCAGCAAATGGCAGCCCCCAGCTGATGGGAGAGCAAGCGGGTACATAAGTACCATTTTCCCATAACCTGCCTTCCAGAGGGGGGAAAGGTGGGTGCTGGGCTGGCAGGGAAGTCCCGTGCACCCCTGCAGAGACAGAAGAGCTGGTAAAATTACTTGCTTTCCTTAATCCTGTGGACCCACGGACACAGAAGCACTTTTTTGTTGTTGTTGTTGTGGTTTCTCTCCCCTTCCATAAAAAAAGCCAGCCTGAGGCAGAGGGTGAAGCGTGGGAAAGTTTCGCTCCAGTGACTGAGACCTGGGAGAGTTGGTAGCACTGGGAAGCGGGTTGGCTTCCAGCCCTGCTGTTCCTACCCCAAAACAGCCCCACCAGTTAACTTGACCCCAGCTCCTTTATTCAGGGGCAGTCCCACAGTCCCCGGCTCTTGGGATAAATGGGGAGCACGGGGAAGGGCTGCTAAACTCACATGATGTTGCCGTAGAGTTGCTTTTTCGTGTCGCTGTGCCCCGTGCTCTGTTGTCACTGTGGGGTTATGGTGCCGAGGGAGCAACCTCCTGAGTCAGATTGCACACAGGTAGCTTTGGAGATTTGGAGGACATCTCGCTCTGGCTTTACAGAATCACAGAATCACATGGGGTTGGAAGGGACCTCTGGAGATCATCTAGTCCAACCCCCTGCCAAAGCAGGTCCACCCAGAGCAGGTCGCACAGGAACGTGTCCAGGTGGGTTTTGAATGTCTCCAGAGAAGGAGACTCCACCACCTCCCTGGGCACCCTCTTCCAGGGCTCTGCCGCCCTCAAAGTGAAGAGGTTCCTCCTCATGTTTAGGTGGAACTTCTTATATTCAAGTTTGTGCCCATTTCCTCTTGTCCTGTCCCTGGGCACCACTGAGAAAAGACCAGCCCCTTCCTCTTGCCACCCACCCTTTAAGTATTTATAAGCATTGATCAGATCCCCCCTCAGCCTTCTCTTCTCCAGACTAAAAAGACCCAAGTCCCTCAGCCTCTCCTCAGAAGGGAGATGCTCCAGGCCCCTCATCATCTTTGTAGCCCTCTGCTGTCCCCTCTCCAGCAGTTCCCTGTCCTTCTGGAACTGGGGGGAGACCAGTTTAGCTGATGTGATCCACATCACTCTGAATATTTTTGTCCCCAGTACAGCCAGCATCTCATCCAGCCCCATGTTTTTTTTCCTGAGGCAGTTTGGAAAGCCATCCCTTGTGGACTCCCTCTGGCAGATGGAGCTTCAGAGAAAGGTTGCGGTGCTTCATTATATTAAGCAGGATAGTTTCATAAGGAGGAGAGGATGTGATTTTGCAGCTAGCAGCTGCTGGCTCATAGCCAAGAGAGATGGGTGTTTGTCACCCACTGGAGCTAATTGTGCCCATCGCGAACGTTAATGTCGTCAGCAGAACAGATATTCTGCATTTGACGTGTTTTCCCAGTCTGGCTGGGATGACAAATGAAACCCCCATACATGAATATTTCAAACTCTCCTGAATAACCTGGTATCGTGCAGAGAAAGTGGGGGGCGTTGGTCAGAGACCAGCTTCCCCAGCATTGCAGTCACATCCCATACTGGGCTCCTGGGGCTGACACAGGCACCTCTGGAACCTCCTGGGGGTCAGTCCCCAGCTCTGTTCCTCAGCTCCTTTGCCTGAAAGTGGGAATGGTCGTACTGCATCTCACCACCCCTGCCAGATTCTGGTTGAAATACTCCGCTGCTGCCACAACCTGCATTTCTCTCCTGCCTGAAGTCTGGGAGAGACCCAGCTCTTACACAGGTTGTGAGTTCACAGCATCAGTACCTTTTCCAGCGTTGTAGGAGGATGATGAGGGGCCTGGAGCATCTCCCTTATGGGGAAAGGCTGAGGGACTTGGGTCTTTTTAGTCTGGAGAAGAGAAGGCTGAGGGGGGATCTGATCAATGCTTATAAATACTTAAAGGGAGGGTGTCAGGAGGACGGGGCTAGACTTTTTTCAGTGGTGCCCAGGGACAGGACAAGAGGAAATGGGCACAAACTTGAGTATCCTAAACTTGAACATCCTAAATGTGAGGAGGAACTTCTTTCCTGTGAGGGTGGCAGAGCCCTGGAAGAGGGTGCCCAGGGAGGTGGTGGAGTCTCCTTCTCTGGAGACATTCAAAACCCACCTGGACACGTTCCTGTGCAACCTGCTCTGGGTGGACCTGCTCTGGGCAGGGGGTTGGAATAGATGCTCTCCAGAGCTCCCTTCCAACCCCATGTGATTCTGTGAGTCCTCAGGGCTGCTTTCAGAAAAGGCCATTTATGGTAGCACCACCTGCCCACCTCCGCAGCGTGGTATCGATCATCTCACAGTCCCAGCACACTGTGCATAGCTGGCATTGTGCTTGTACAGTCATGGCTTGGGTGTTATTTTTCAGCTCCTGCTATAACCAAGTGTTTTTTCAATGTTTTCACACACAGTCCTCAGGGCTGCTTTCAGAAAAGGCCATTTATGGTAGCACCACCTGCCCACCTCCGCAGCGTGGTATCGATCATCTCACAGTCCCAGCACACTGTGCATAGCTGGCATTGTGCTTGTACAGTCATGGCTTGGGTGTTATTTTTCAGCTCCTGCTATAACCAAGTGTTTTTTCAATGATTTCACACCCTTTTTTTTTTTTAATTTATTTTTTTAAATAACCATATTATTCGGTCTTCCAATGTATTAGCAAGAATGTGGAGCATCTTGTAATATTTTTAATAGTCATCGTCTTCGTCGCTGTGTCTGGCTTAAGTGTGGCGAATCCTTCGCATTTATTTGTTTATTTATACATATACAAAATATCTTTATATATTTAACGTAGTGCTCTCTGGGGCTTGGTTGTGTGGTTTTTGACTTGTGTCTTCTTCTAACATCTGTTGTTGCTTTAAGGTCTTCTGGGAATTACTGGTGATACCTATTCCTGAGGCTGGTTAAAATAGTCTCTTCTTCTAACATCTGTTGTTGCTTTAAGGCCTTCTGGGAATTACTGGCGATACCTATTCCTGAGGCTGGTTAAAACAGTCCTGCTCTCAGAGCGAAGGAGTGGGAGCACACCCTGCACCTCCTCCTCCTCTGCTGCTGAAATCACTTTTCTCCTCTGGAATGTGCTCAGAGAATGATAAAGCGGCCGTGTGTTTGGGGCTGCATTCTTCCTTCCCCCTGGGTGAATTTTCGTAGATAAAGGGACCCTTCTTTTGCCTCTGCCTTGGGGGGACCCAAACGCATGACTCACGGGGCGACGAGCACAGTGCTTCTTCAGGGGCCTCAAAACTTCTCTTTCACTTCAGTTTATCATCCCTGTGCTTGATGGTAAAACTGAAGTGCCTCTGTCTGTGTCTGACCTTGGTATAGCACATGTTGGTTATTTCAGGAGAAAAATGCAGCTTTTTTGTGGTGAAGACCCGCCCAAGTCACTTAAACCTGCACTCCTGGAGAATGCAAAAATTCATATGCACTGCTCTCTTCCTTTTTTGCAACACTTTGGGTTCCTGCCCAAGAAGACCGCACAAATGAGGAAGGACAGGTGAAATACTAAGGCTTGGAGATTCTAATAAATACAGCATTAAGCACTTTAACCCAGGAAGTTTGTACACAGTGAAGTTTGCAGATGACACCAAACTAGGTGGGAGTGTTGATCTGCTTGAGGGTAGGAAGGCTCTACAGAGGGATCTGGACAGGTTGGATCGATCAGCCAAGGCCAATGAGATGAGGTTCAATAAGGCCAAGTGCCAGGTCCTGCATTTTGGTCACAACAACCCCAGGCAGCGCTACAGGCTTGGGGAAGAGTGGCTGGAAAGCTGCCCAGCAGAAAAAGACCTGGGGTTTGGTGGACAGATGGCTGAACATGAGCCAGCAGTGTGCCCAGGTGGCCAAGAAGGCCAACAGTATCCTGGCTGTGTCAGGAACAGCGTGGCCAGCAGGAGCAGGGCAGTGATGGTGCCTCTGTACTGGGCAATGGTGAGGCCTCACCTCGAGGGCTGTGTTCAGTTCTGGGCCCCTCACTACAGGAAGGACATTGAGGTGCTGGAGCGTGTCCAGAGGAGAGCCACCAAGCTGGTGAGGGGTCTGGAGAACAAGTCATAGGAGGAGAGGCTGAGGGAACTGGGCATGTTTAGTTTGGAGAAGAGGAGGCTGAGGGGAGACCTCATTGCCCTCTACAACTCCCTGAAAGGAGGTTGTGGAGAGGTGGGTGTTGGCCTCTTCTCCCAAGGGAATAATGACAGGAGCAGAGGAAAGGGTCTGAAGTTGGGGCAGGGGAGGTTTAGATTAGATATCAGGAAGAATGACTTTCCTGAGAGGGTGGTCAGGCCCTGGAACAGCCTGCCCAGGGCGGTGGTGGAGTCACCATCCCTGGAGGTATTTTAGAAACCTGCAGATGTGGCTCTTCAGGGCATGCTCCAGTGCCTGAGATTGTAGGGGGGTTTTTTGTGTGTATATGGTTGGACTCGATGATCTCAAAGGTCCTTTCCAACCATGACGATTCTGTGATTACCTGTGAGAACTCAAGGTTGTTTTCCGTCGTGGCTCCTCGGGAACACCAGATTGATGCTCTCTCAACTTCTACTAGCTCAATAAGGAAAAACATCGATCTCTCTATCCCCACTAACAGATCAATTTGCTTTCTCTCCTCTAGGACTGCCTTAAAGCTTGTCAAGAACAGATCGAGGCGGTGCTAGTGAACAGCCTTAGGCAAGTCCGGCGGCAGCAACAGCAAAGCAATCCTTCTAAGACGGTGGACGAACTGGACCAGGCCAGCACTCCCACAGACGTGAGAGATATCGACCTGTGAGGACATCGGCACAGAAAGTCACGCTTGCTCCCCCAGCCCTTTTATTTTTATTACTATTTTTAGAGTGAAATCTTTTTTTTTTTTTTTTTTTTCATCTGCTCCCACATAGAACCTATTTAAAGCTCTTTTAGATAAAACAAAAAATTACAAAAACTGAATAATGAAAAAAAAAAAAAAAAGCATTTGGTGCCTGTGATGTTCTACAGAAGGGAATCCCACAATATATTTGGTAATTGCTATTTGATTATGTATCAGTGATATTAAATGCTTATAAAAGCATACAAAGTAGCTAGATAAATGTAAGCCTGCATTTGTGGGAACAAAGTAGAGTATACTTGTCTGTGTATTATGACCTAGTGCATACACCCCTTTTTTAGATTTAAGAAAGGAATCGTGTGTGCGATTTTATGGCTTGACTAGATTGCAAAGCAATAGAATAAGGGGTTTAGGGCAAAGCGGGAAAAGATCCCTGAAGCAATTGAACCATTTTGAATGCAGAAGAGATTTGCTGATCTGTCACCTCTGTTATTAGTCAGAAGTGTTTGTTGGATCTCTGTATGTTAGTTTTGTTTACTCTTGCTGTCTGTGGTAGCTGCTACCTAAGAAAGAAGATGCTTTATTTTGCCAGCCAGAAGAGCAGGTGGTTTTGGGGTTTTTTTTATTGGGTTTATTTTTGTTTTGGTTTTGGTTGGTTTTTGTTTGGTTTTTTTTTTTTTTTTTTTTCAAATCACCCTCTCCCCTCTTGACTTTTTCTACTTTTCCTTCAGAAATGTTTCATTCTAAACACAGCAGCATCTTTGGCATAAGGGCAATCCCATTTTACCCAACTGTGGGCCAAGCCAAAGTTTCCCGAGTGTGTTCACGTTAGGTGGGGGAAATGCACCAATTAATTCCGAGCAGACGGCTTAATCAGCCCGCCTCCGACCTTTGGATTGCAAGATGTGGTGGATCATCTGTGAAAAAGCATTATATTCCAGGACAGCACTAATGCTTCACGTCAATGTTAACTTTTGGCAGCTCCTTAGCTTGGCCGTAAAGACATTGAAATGATGCTCTGTCCATCTTCCTTTTTAACATCTCCTCACTGGGTTAAAAGAAGATGAGATTTGGTTTGATCCCTTTTCTACCTACCCATCTTACCCCC